GAACGGAAAGGCGAGCCCACCGCTCCAGAGTTCGTGCCTCCTAGCCGTGCCCCAGGATAATCTTCAGGAGAAGATGGTCGGCGACTATTTCGAGATAGAGAATTTCGGAGTAAAGCCGGCACAGCCAGTCGCATGTGGACTTCGCGCGGGCCTATAAGGGCATAATGGACGATTACGTCAAGAAGGGGTACGCACGACGACTGGAGCCCCAGGAAGCCCAGAGGTTCCAGGAAGGCAAGTTATGGTACCTGACGCAATTCGGGGTGGAAAACCCGAACAAACCAAGGTGAACGGCGTTTCCCTTAATTCAGGGCTAATGAAAGACCAACCGCGCTACAAGCCTCTCCCAGCGGTGCCCTTCCATTTTCGGGAAGGAGCAGTTGGGGTTTGCGCAGACATAAAGGATATGTACCTGTGGAGAAACGGAGATGACCAGCGGGAGCCGTACGTATACGAGATGCAAGTGATGACGTTCGGAGCAGCTTGCTCACCATGTTCGCCGGATTATGTGAAGACCTTTAATGCCTCGCAGTACAGCAGCACGGATCCCCGAGAAGCCCTGGCTATGAAGGAATACCACTACGTGGACGACTACGTCGACAGTTTCACCAGTTAAGAAGGAGCTATCGCCATTTCGACACGGGTGAGAGAAATTCATGCAGATACAGGTTTTGACTTGTGTCGATTCACTTCCAGTTCGGCAAGTGTGGTCAGAGCGTTAAACCCACTTGAATCCATTACTAACTTCAAATGGACCGAAGCTGAAGAGAAGGTACTATAAATGTAATTGCAGCCGGCTACAGACGACTTCAAGTTCGGCGTCAAATATCATCGAGTCCCGAGAAGCGTGATGACAGAGGAACGAGTCCCTACCAAGAGGGAGTTCCTAAGCCTGGTCATGTCCACGTTTGACCCGATTGGATTTCTAAGCTGTTACATGCTGACTGCCAAATTGTTAATGAGAGAGATTTGGCGGAGAGGAGTCAACTGGCGAGCCACTACCAGATAGTTTGGCCGCAGCCTTTGAGGACTGGCAGCAAGGAATGAGCAAAATCGAAGAGCACAGATGTCCACGCCATTACTTCGGCGGTGAACGCGTGCGGATGCTACAGCTGCACATCTTCGTGGTCTCCAGTCAGTCGGCGTTCGCAGCAGCGGCCTATTGGCGGGCCACTTACGAGAACGGAGACGTGCAGGAGCATTTCATAAGCTCCAAGACGAAATTCACTCCGATGAGGACTATGTCGATACCGCGACTGGAACTTCAAGCAGCAGTATTGGACACGAGACTGATGGACACCGTCAAGCAGGAGCACGGTGTGGCGATCAGCAACTGTGTATTATGGACGGATAAACACTGGATAAGCAGCACCCACCGGAGATACAAGCAGTTCGTCGGTAACCGGGTGGCAGAGATCTTGGAATCCACGGAGGCGTCCCAGTGGAGATGGATTCTGTCTGCCGAAAACGTGGCAGACGACGTGACGAGGGCGCGCAAGGCCGTAGACCTGAGCGATTCGCGATGGCTACAATCGTCTGGGGAGGAGCACTGCATGGGTGCTCAGATTTATTCGAGGGGAGAGGATCACGGACTGACGTCAATGGAGTACGATGAAGGTGAGTGCGCACTGGTACGGCAATCGCAGCGAGAAGAGTTTGCTGAAGTCGCCAAAGGTAGCCGGCTGCATGGAATTTCCCCTTACTTCGACGTGGACGGAGTAATGCGAGCCAGCTTAAAGATCGACGACGCGACGTGTATGCCATACAGTGCAGGTCGGCCGATCATACTGTCCCACGAGGAGGCATTGGTGGAGATGATCGTGCAGCATCCACCACAACACGGAGGCAACCATCGAAGCGATCCAAAAGAAGTTCTGGATTACGAACTTACGAAGTGCAACGTTTAAACTGCGAAGAGCTCGACCAACTCAGGCCGAGATGGGTCCCCTGTCAGAGGACCGGCTGGAGGCCAACGGATGGCCCTTTAAGTTTACCGGATTGGACTATTTTGGACCGCTATTAACTTCATGAACAGGCGTGGACCCGTCGTCAGAATTAGAAGCGACAATGGAAAAAACTTCGTTGGAGCCGACCGCGAGGCCTAGAGGTTCAGCGAAGTGTTCGAGCCTGTACAGATCCAGGGCGAGCTGTCGTCTAAAGGAGTCGAATGGATCTTCAATTGCCCGGCGAACTCAGCTGAGAGTGACGCCTGGGAAAGGATGGTGCAATGTGTGAAGAAGGTGCTGCCGCTCACGATGAAGGAACTTGCGCCCAAGGAGTACGTACTGAAGAACCTGCTGATTGAAGCGGAGAGCATAGTGAACTTTCGTCCGCTTACTTATCTACCAGTGACAATGAACCAGGAGGCTCCACTGACACCCAACGATTTGCTGAAGGGAGCACCCGATGTCCCAGATCTACCAGGAATCAGTGGCGCATAGCGAGGATGATGCGGGATCGATTCTGGAAGCGATGGGTGCTTGAGAACCTGCCGACTCTTGTGCGCACAAATGGAGTCATTCGAGGGTTTGTTTGATAATGATACGCGCAAAAGGGATACACGCAACTGATTTATTGTGGATCTGAGAAGAAGAACTGCTCTAAAAAACGCGATTAGATAAAAAAAAACATAAATAAACCTAATGTAGTTTAAGGATAAGAAAAAAATCTCTTTCAAATAAAATAAAATATAATAAAAAATAAAAAAGTTCATTGGTTCATTATTTCTGTGCCAAAACAAAGGCCTGCCACATTCGGCGCGTGCGCAACGGATGCCGTAACATGCTCCTAAAGATGTTTACAAATCTGATGCATGAGTGTGAAGTGACACTTTATTAGGATAAACAACTTCCATTTTGTTTTGAAGTACTGAAATCTAAAAAATCTGAAATATGAATAAACAACTTGAAGCATTGACTAATACTTAACTATGCACTTGTCAATTTTATTATTGTGTGTCCATGAACGTATATCGGTTCTCCATATAAGTATCCGACCCTCATCACACATATGGGGTTTCCTCTCAACCATACAAACGCACACACGTAGGCAGAGGCTTACATATATAGAAATTTATAATTACGGTTAGGAATACATTTCAATATTCTCAAATAACAGTTAGGAAGGTCGGAAAACCAATCATGACACAATCGTCACATTTTATTACTTCTTTGAACACGTGCACTGATTTTAAAAACTATAATTTATGGGCTTATGATTTCTGTGCCAGAATCCATACTGACTAAAAAGACATTCCCCTCCTGTGGTGAGGGGAAATCCTAATTACAGGAGACGACTGATAATGGGTTTCGGGGTGGGGGAAGCCATGTTTTAATCCATGTTTTAATCACACTCACTAAAATCTGTGCCAGAACCAACCTTAAGTACCTACTCATGAATAAGGCTAACCGGCAAAAGATTTTGAACAACGGCATTAAAATAAGATTTGAAGACAGAAATAAATATAATATATTTATAAATAAATTTAAGAACACTATACGAGTATACAAAAAAAATCAAGACCAAAAACAAATTTATACATGACTTACAATATATCATTAGAATAAGAATGAATATGTTTCAACCAATTATGTTATCAATATTGAACAAAGTATTTTATTATCAAAATTAAAGATTGTACCAACATTTATAATTTGTCAGGAAGAAATGAATGTAACAAGATATAATAGAAATGTCAAATGACAAAATCTTTAAATTACTAGAACTAGGACATTTAAGATAGGCATTCAGATCACGTTTAGAATTAAAGAATAAAAAGCATACTGCAAAACAAAAAATGTGGGTAAAATAGAAACGAATACAGCAGTCGAACCAGCTAGTGTTTTTATCTGTAACACGTCCAATACATCAATAGAATCGAACATATCGGAATCAGCATTGTTGATATTTTAAAATTGTTTAGTCAGCATCAGATTCCATACACAAACGTAAATGACGATCACAATTTAATAATAAATTTGAAGAAGATTACAACTAGTAATTTAGGAACATTATACTTACTGTTAATCATTGGAGTAATAATGATCTTTATAGTGATTCCCCGAAAGAGGAAAATCGTGTACTCTCCATCACTGCCCGAGACAAATTTCGTGATTCTGACTATCACTTCAATCCAGGGGGGAGGACATACCGTACAGGCACGGCACGCTTAGCCCCTAATGAAACCTCCCAGGGCTAACCTAGTTTCGACACATACATATATACAAAGTAAATTTTTGTATCTTTGACTTTTATTCAAAACGAGAACAACGACCGATCAAAGGGCCTGTCATTGCACTTGAGAGGAAACCAGTAATCCTCTCAAACCAGGAAACGGGACAGCGACTAAGCGGATCACCACTTGAAGGAGCGGCACTTGAACTGTTTACATATTTATGTATATGCCCAATTTTATTAATATATAGAATTCAATCGCTCAGTTGCCAGATCCGAACAAAGTCTTTCTCCATCCACCGCTCTAGGAAAGGTATTGCTAATTACAAAGTAAATAACCAACTCTCACGAAGAAGGAAATCACCGTTTTGTCTATACTATAAACAGCGCGCCTTTTACGACGCTTTTATAACCCCTAATCAACATATTTTTATCAAAATAATATTAATATTCCAAATTTGGCTTGTTTATTTAAGTAATAATTGTACATATGTATATCTGTATGTGGTATATAACACCATGACTCTTAAAAATGTAACGTAGTGTTATAAGCCAGTGAACGCATGGAACATTTTTGAAATTCTTGAATAAGCTGTTAAGTTAACACAGTTAAATTGCGACAACATGATCCTTTAAATTTACAAATTGTTACGAATTCCATTGTTACGTCATAGCCGCTAAGGCAAGGCCCCGATACGTTTTGAATAAAATGAAAAAGCTTTTGAGTCTCGGGCACGAACCTCTTTACTGAAAAGCTTTTTGTAGTATTATTAAAGCTGTATTTGTGTACTTATGTCAGGTATTACTATTATATTCTAGTTAATTGCCGTTTTTATTACCTATGGAAGGGCAGTCCCTTGTAATTAAGATCGGATAAAAGTTACGTAAAACTCGCTGAGAAATGGATAACTTTCCAATATGAATGAAATGACTTCAGATTCTCTCAAAATGTCTTACAATTCATTTTGTGTATGCTAGCAGTCATGCGCGGAAATTTGTCACAACTTCTACAAAAGCAACAACCGATAAATATTAAATCATTAGAATACAAATGTATTATTTAGAATAAAAATACATGGCTTTATTATAAACATTTCAAGTTCAGCAGACAAAAGTATAGAGGTGCGAAAGAAAAAAGGTAAGATTTCATTTCAATCATTCTTTCGTCCTCAATCTTTATTGATTGAAAGAAAAGGGTGTGTGCCGTTTATTTACGAGCTTTATTTTACACAAGAACATATAAATAAACATATATACATACATATATATATACATATGTATATATATATATGTAATTTAGCTACTTCTAGATAAGCCAAAAATTCATATGATACGAACTACTTACATATACATATATGTACATATGTGTTTGTATAATATTTTTATATTAACCTGTTGAAATGTGTTTTACACAAAAAATTAATGTACTAACTTGACTGAGTAGACTCTAGTGCTTTGCATGCTATTTTTATATACAATACATACCTATGAATGTACAAACATATATAATTTATTATGTTACATACAGTGACCAATTCAGAAAATAATTAAAATAATTGAAATGCAGACGCGCTATTGTCGTCGAGTGACGCAACTATCAGATACCCGTAACTGTATTAATATTGATAGGCGAAAATTATACTGGCGCCACACAGTGGGCCATTTAGTCTCGCTAGCGGCATTTAATTAATAAATTCTAAAGTAAAATAGATGTCCTTTGTCGGTTTTTTTTCACTGAACAGAAAAAAATCATAAAATTTTTTAGTAACAATTTCTTTAAGATTTTCTTTTTTAATTAAAACACTTTACTTTTATTTTTTTAAGTTCAATTAACATAAATCACAAAAAAAGCGTATCTAAAAGATAGCATGATATTCGGAATCATCGGAATCAGAGAGAGGCGTATCCTGGTGCTTTATTAGAAGCAAACTCTTAACATAATCGTTTGAGAAATTGCAGACTTTTTTACTTTTATTTTTTTAACTTCAATTAACATTTATCACAAATAAAGTCTATCTAAAAGATAGCATGTTATTCGGAATCATCGGCGTATCCAGATGCTTTATTAGAAGCAAACTCTTAACATCATCGTTTGAGAAATTGCAGACCCATTTGACAATGAAGTTATGAAAAGATTGGAAGAAACTAAAAGCATTTAACACATCTTTCAATGTATTCTTTCTGCAATTTTTTCTTGAATTGCTCTCGCGTACGTTTCGAAAGCCCTTTTCTGTGTTCAAGAGCTTCCTCGGACATAATACCAATTGGAAGGCAAAAATGGCTTATTCTGTGAACAGACGGTGGCATATAAAACCACGTAACCGTGATGATACTGGGATATTATTTTTCTTTATCGCACAACGCAGTTTATCGTAGCATGGGTATATGTATGTCACCGTTTCGTCCATCAGGGGCTCTTTTTGTTAAATGTGTAATACATCCAACATTGAGGACGTCAAACATTTTTTGAAGATGAGATTTTTATTACTACCAGCGGCGTATCTAGCCTTATTTCTTTCACAATCTTTCCACTTTAGTAAAGCCTAGTTAGCCTACTGGTAAAATTTCGAAACTTTTTGCCAATCTAGCACTGCTCTTTTAGAGTATATTTAAGGATTTAACAACAGTACCAAATACACAGTTTTTCATGACAACAATATTCTTGGTTGGGATGACTTTTTAGTGCCATACTAAAACATGAGGAAACGCTATTATCGAGTGCCGCGACTATACGATACCCGTTACTGTTTTACACAATTTTAAAATATTCATTTTGCTAGTGGAAATTCACAAGGCGCCACCTATTGTCAGAGGAAGCATGTTGAGTAACTGATAGTGACGTCACTGCCCAAGTGAGGTCGTATAACCTTAATTTCTTCATAAATAGCGAAATAATTTTCCGATTTGAAAAGTCTTTGGTAAATCGATAGATATTAACAGAAATAAGATATATAAGATCAACCGAAGGCATTCATAATAATATTATAGACGCCACAGTTTTCCGCGGGTTGTGGGCGTTAGAGTGGGCGTGGCAGGATGCTGTAATAAACTTGCGCTGCGTATGGACCTCAAGAATCTTCATGGTTAATCTCAACCTTGTACCTCTTATAGTTCCTGAGATCTCAGCGTTCATACGGACAGACGGACAGACATGGCTCATTCGTCTGGCTATTCATCCTGATCAAGAGCTTTCAAAAAACTTCGATAGAACTAATCAAAGCATCTGCTATTGACTTGGGAAAAAATATCAACGCCTTCTTGAAAAAAAAATTAAATACCGCTAGCGAGACCAAAGCGCCCACTGTGCGCCACCGCCAAAGCCCTATCAAGACTAACAACCTTAATTAAATTCATTTTCACAAAAAGTATTCTCAAGTGGAAACCAAAATCTAAACCCTAATTTATGAACACCAGCATCAGCTGCGTTAGCGTCTATAGAATATCATGCCTAATCCCAGTTGTCTAGTTTTATTAGCTCCCGAGACTATGTTCTTAGTTGTTTACAATTTTCGGAGTAAACTGGGCGTTGCATAATGTCGAAGTTAGGTCACCTATAACCTTTAGTAACCTTTAACCTTTAGTAGGGTCTGAAACGCTTCCCATATCTGTTACATGTTTTTCAAGGAATACAACATACCACTTTACTCCGCGTATAATGGGAAAGGAAAAGAGATTTGTCTTTTATAAAACGAATTGGCATATGAATGCATATCAATAACATAAGGGATTAATAATATACATCACTGAACACATTTTACCTCTTTTAGTCGGTAAATTTTTAATTATCAATGTTTATATGAACCTAAGTGTATAGCTGTGTCCCCTTGTACTAGAACTAATAAGGTGTCAGTGTAGGGGCGGTTCCCAAGCGAAGCAAACACCAACTTGCTAAATTCACAAAACGTTGAATTATTGTTGTTTCGATCGGGTTAATATTATATATACATAGGTGTGTATAGAGCATCCCGCGTTAGATCAGTGACGTGTGTCGTTTACCAAAGCCGACTGTCTGTGTCAAAATGAGAGAGTGATCAGCTGATTGCTTCGAGGTTCCCGCGCACTGGGGAAAACCAAAAACAACACAAATTCATTAATCGGAAGCGGAAAAATCATATCAACATGATATTGGAAGTCGAAGTATATGGAAATATAGTATATCGATAGTGTTCGAAGTTTATATAAATCAGAAATAGTTTGTAATGTTTGCCAACATTTTCTATAGCACTAAGTATGATGCATTGAAACACAAAATTCCCTGTTGTGTAAAGGTATCGAAATTCTCGAGAAATACTTTCGATGTTTTATACAATATCGCGTTCAGCTTCAGGTTTCATTTAAAAATCATACTGCAGGCCAAAAATAAAAAAGTGAACCCTCAAAATAATATAATTAAACACATTTACTCCTGATGACGAATATTCAAGTTAACTAATTTCACTACTTCTGCGGCAATAAATTGTTAGTAGCAATAAGTCACATCATCGGAACATCAAGCTTAGCTTAGCCTACTAGGCGGTGGAGTCTTTCACGGACAACATTGCCCTAGCTTTCTGCGGCCTTGCAGACAACTTGCCAGCAATTCAGAATTGTATGTGGTTATGATATAGTCTTACTTGCACTCCGCATGCAAACGCAAGCGATAAATCAAATTGTAATACCCATAACTTAACTCAAATGACTTATAGGTTAATAAAAACATTAAAATAAATTATTCGAACAACGAATTATTATCGCTCAATGTTCGTTTCATTTTATTTAAAACGAAAAACAAATAAAAATAAAACCGCAAGTAGATCCCTAATAGCTAGTAGCTTCATACAAGAGAATAGCAGCCAACAGCAGAAATCGCCGCCACCATCAACCAGCCCTCGCCCTACAATAATGATCAATGTGCGGAAAAGCAACTACTAACCAAAAAAATATGTTAGTAGGTATTTTAATAATTTTAATTCGAAATTGTTCGAAAAAAAAATAAAAAGAGTCTGTGAAGGCGATTTGGTAAGTTTTAAAAAAAATGAAAGGTAGTTTTACAATCGGTTATTTTAAAATAATAATTTTGCTAGCAACAATAGACGCAGCACTACCATTTGCTTTTGTCATTGTCCTTGTGAGGCCTTATAAATATAATATAAACTATAATATTATGGACGCCACAGTTTTCCGGCTCATGGGCGTTGGAAACTTCATGTGTTTTTAGACAATGCAGCTAGACAATACCATATGCCGTGGAATCTTAAGAATATAAATCCTTAGTCCCAACTTTCTAACTCTTATTGTTCCAGAGAATTAAGTAATTTTAGTTTTTCGTGATCAGTGGCAGTTAGAGTGAATGTGGATGGTGAAATAAACTTGCGCTGCGTAGGCATCTCATGAATCTATTCATTCTCTCACGGACAGTCGGACTTGGCTATTGTTTCTGATCAAAAATATCCTTTACACTTCATATGGTCGAAAACGCTTAATTTTACGAATGCAATATACCCTTTTACTATACGGGTACACTATAAAAGTAAAAAAATGCAGACCGAACAAATAGCAAATATGGAAGCGTCCTTAAATGAGGCTCTAGAAAGACAGCAATGAATTTTTGACGAAAAATCATGATTGAACAAAATATTCTTAAAAAAGACAGCCCAAACATTGAGACATTTAGAAAATTAATATTTCACCGGAAATAGAATGTTGTGAACCTCTAAATGTTGTTAAGTCCGGTCCCACGCGATTCAACAAGATTTAAACCTTTCTAGCCAAGGAATATCAAAATAAAAGAAAAATTACCCACGAAGTATATAAGGATAATATTTTTTTTATGAGCTTTGCTTTTATTTATTGAATATACCCTCAATATTGCTATTGCTGGCGGTCCCCCATAACAGGGAGCGGTACAGCCATATATGTTTTAATATCGAGTTATACAGCAGAACTTTATATTCAAGGCTAAGGGAAGACCGAGCTTAGATAAGCCAATGAAGGCTGCTGACTTTTAGCTTTAGATGTGTTGTTTTAGTTTCAATGTGCCGGCGCCATGTGAGTCTTCTGTCGAGATGTATGTTATGTCACTTCGTTTGCTTGCGGGAGTAGATTGTTGTTTAACGTAAGCGGCGGGAAGCACGTAACGTGCTTGCATTTTTGTTGGTT